ATCCCCACTGCAATTGACTATGAAAGAAACAGAGAAAGGGGGCATCAGATACAGGCTCAAGCAAGGAAGTCTCTGTCCTGTTCTATGACTCCTCTTATGAACTGACAGTCCCTGACTGGAGCCCATGCACAGCGATTACACACCCAGTACACGTTAGCAGAACTACCCAGGGCCTACTGGGCTTCCATCGCATTGCTTATGATAGAGCCTTCCACAGTTATGAACAGTCCCAGGCAGACTCTTCACAGCCATCTATCTCCCTCTCCAATTAGTTAGCTTGACTCTGTAACCTTGCCTTCCTCTACTCTTGTGGCTCCCCCTCAGGTAACTAAGAGTAGATGCCAAATCAAGGTCAAAGCTAATCAAAATCAGAAGAGTAGATAAAGCCCTAATTGAAGTCTTAAGCCATTCCAAATACCAGAGATCACTCATCCCTTTCAATGCCAAACTCACCTCCACAATTTCTCATATCATCATGGAGGAAGTATTCGGGTGGGCAGGAGCAGAAGTAACCACCAATGAAGTTGTTGCAGAAGTGGCTACAAGGGACATCTGCAAAGTCTGTGCACTCATTTACATCTACAAAAGTAGAGAAAGACAGAGGTCAAGGACAAAGACCTAGCAGGAAGAATGTGGTTAAACCCAAAACTACAAGGGCAAGGAAAAGTAAGAAAGGCCTGTTGCTTGAAGATCTTCATTTCAGGATGGTGTTATTCTCTATTACTCTCCTGAGATGTGATTCCAAAGTTGGACCTTACCATCACAGGGCTCTAAGGGAGCTCTCACTGCTAGAGACCTTTGACCTTTCTCACAAACAGAGCATTTCAGCTCCAAAGAAAACACTCCACAAGCTAAACATGATGATATGCCTTCTGCAGGGAGGAATAATTAGTACATTTATTCCGTTGTACGACGTTTGCACTTCTTTCAAATCTAATCTATAGCTTGGCTTTGCAAGATGTTCTGACTTTGTTTTAGGTGTAGAGCACACAGAATTTGAAGGTTCGTTTGCCATATATTGAATGGGTTTGAATACCGCATGTTCCTTGTGTGAGTCTTGGTAAGTTATTTAACTTTCCTAGTCTTCCCTTTCCTTCACTTTAAATGAAGATAATAATGCCTGCCTTGAAGAGTTGAGGTGAAGATTAAATTAATATACACAAAATTCCTAATACAGTGCCCACTTCTAATGGCTCTCAATAAATTACTCTTTATTATCTATTCTTAACATTATATCATCACAACTAAGATATGGTCATGTGCTTGAATTTCCTAACGGCAACTCATAGAGGGATCCGAGTCAAGTCTATACTTCGTGAGAGTTCTAAACAGAATCTGTATTCACAACATTGCTCAATGTCTACCCTGCTTCTGACCTGCTAGCTGGATCAGTGAGTCAACAGAGAAGAGTGGGCCTTACCTACGGCGACATAGTACGCAGCAAACCCAGTGAAACGCTCTTCATTGGAGAAGTCGGACTTAAAGATCACCTGGACTTTATTGTTCGGGACTTGGAACTCTTCCACAATTTGGGAATTGGGATTCTTGCTGGTCCTCCGTCCACAGATCTTCCCTTCTTGGAGGCCTCCTGACATTATCTAAGAGAAGCATCAAAGAGAAGCTAGGAAAGGGTCACATTTTGATACAGAGGGAAGAGAAAGGGGGACAAAGAGAGCAGAACACACGCCACCTCACCACTATGTGACTCTAGTTCACCGTACGCCTGTGATACTCCCTCCTGCATCCTTCTCATTTGACCCCCCGGCCCCACCCTGTAGGTGCTTATTTAATGTACCTGCACTGAGTCATATGTGCAGTCCTCTGACAGCTCTATGTCCAGGTGGGTGAAGTAGAGATGGATCCCGTACCCTTCAGGAACTTCTATGTCCCAAGATTTCTCTATGTCATTGGGGTATGCCTGAGGATAGTTAGGGGACAGGATCTCCCCATACATGGTAGGTTCAGCACACACCCATGCCAAAAGGGAAAACAGCACAATGCACCTGGAGAAAAGGGCATATGAAGAGGTGGGTGACACAGGTACAGCAGACTAGAGCAGAGCTCCAGCATTTGTCACAGGGAGGACAACAGCACATGGAGAAGAATCTTAGGTTGAAATAGAGCAAAAAGGCACAGATAAAACCAAATCCCAAGCTTCAGATCTGAGCTGTTTTCTTGAGAAGATAAAGAGACTGGAATCCATGCACATCCCTGTAGACTCATGATCACTTACCACATCGTTGGCAACTCGTCCACCCCCTGGTGAGCAGCACGCCTCTTGGGCCTGGTTCTCTGCACTTCTGGACTTTAGAGCTAAAGAGGTAGCAGGCCTAGCTGTATTTGTCTAACAAACACAGGTACCTGCTTTGGTAGTTGAGGGTCACCTGGAACCAGGGTCACCTTCATAAGAATAACAACAGGTTAAACCGAGCCATACCCCTAATCATCACCACATGACACCTATCTTCTTACCCCCTTCCTGGTTCTACTTCGATTGATTTTCTAGACTAAAACTAATCGTACCCTTCTCCCATTGCTTCTCTGGGCCTCATCCCAGTTTTTCTCCAAAAGAATGAATACTTTCTCCCAGTTTTCTTCCTCCTCACCCTGACCCCCCACTGTATCAGTCTCTCTCCTGTCCTCACAGAATAATATCCCCATTTACGCTCCCATATCTGGGAATCTTTCCCTATCGTGACCACTCACCTAGGACATTTTCTCCCTCCTCTTTTGACAATTAACCCCCTATCGCTTCAAACCAGCTCTGTTACTATGTTCATTATCACATGCATTTCTATCGATACTCCCAATGACCATGGATGGAGCAATGAGCTTCTTTCTCTAAAGTGAGGCAGTGGCCTTGGGAAAAGTGGTCAGAGACAGGGTTGGGTGGGAAAGGAGAAAAGGGGCAACTGAATTACAAGAAACATAAAAAGAAAAGAAAAATATTCCCTCAATTTTCTACATTAATTTTCCAGATTTTTTTTTTTTGCCCTTTACTAAAAAGATAAGATATCTTCCCACAGTTCCTAGAAAAGTTTTGCCAAATGTAAACCCTGAAAACACTGCTAGGCGGTGGGGTGATGTGAGGGTGGATGAGGTCATCCTAAGAGAAATAGGTTATCTATATTTTGCCTTCCTTTTATTCTGCTTTTTCCAGCCCTCCGTCTTTGCCCGAAACCTTCGTATGTGAAGTTTTCTGCCTTTCTTTTTCCCTCCATCAAAGCTCTGCTCTTTGTTTTTAAGGTTTTACCTTCAGAAGCTGATGGGAGCAAGTGGGTCAGTCCCCTCTCTTGCCAGTGGGCATGCTGGGCGACCCTGCCGGCTCCCAGGGAGAGAAGCACGGGGCCTGGACGCTCCCTCTGCAGGAACCTCTGCCGGCCTCCCTGTCTGCCTCTGTTCGTGTGATTCTCCACTCCAGTGTGCATGTCTGAAATTCCCTGATCTAAACAAGAGGGGGCTGGGAGACCAGGAGAGAGGAAAGGGGTAACGCAGCCTTGATCTCAGAGCTCCCTCTGCTTTCGAAACGAGAACTGCATACCTCTCTCAGGCCTGAGATTCCTCTATCCAGGCTTACAGAGAGAGAAAGGGGGAATGGGGAATTTCACTGATTGCCTAATGCTCTTTTTCAGCCAAAGGGTGTGTTAGAGTTTTCAGAGAAGTCAGCTGATTTGTGGGAAAAGGTGGGGATTAATACTGTGGGGAGAAAGCCAAACCCAGAAAGTCCAACCCTCCAGTTGTATACAAATCATGAATTGAGGGTAAGTAGTTATCAGTAATGCAGCTCTTCTCTGCCTTCCAAGCATATTTAATGGTTGGACAATGAGTTCCCAGACCCAGGCTGGTATGGAATGATGATTTTACCTCTTCCTAAAATCCCCTCCTTATCTCCAAACATCTAAATTCTATTCACCAATCAAGCCCCAGTTCAGATACAATCCAGAGTCCCTTATCCATAACCCCTGAGTACAGAGACATTTCGAAATTCTGAATTTTAAGATTTTTAGAAAAATTACAGTGCAGTACATGGACCCAACGTCAGGTAACACCTCCTCCTCTCCCTCCCCTCAAGGGGCTGGGATAACGAACCTTTATCAAACAACATTCCTGCAGCTGAGCAGACTGATCTTCACGGTAAGTAGAATAACTAAAATTATAATTTAGTTATAAATATATATGGTATTATAAATTATTCATAATTATAAATTACTTCACATCATCCCTGGCCAGGTAGCTCAGTTTATTAGAGCATCATCCCAATGTGCCAAGGTTGTGGGTTTGATCCCCGGTCAGAGCACATACAAGCAATGAATGCACAACTATGTGGAACAGCAAATTGATGTCTCTCTCTCTCTGTCTCTCTGTCTCTCTCTCTCAAAATCAGTAAACTTAAAAAAAAATAAATAAATAAATTACTTCACATCAGTTCATGTCAGGTTTTGCTGCCCAATAAGTATCGGTGCCAAACTTGGGTGAAAAAAAAACAACTTTTTTTCAGAGCCTTTCGGTATTTGGAATTGCAGACAAGGGACTGAGGGATGGTGAGCCTGTGGGGCATCTGCACAAAGCCTGCTGGGACCTCCCAGCTCTCCTTTATGTCCCTTATCACTTTCTATCCCAGTGACTGCATTCCAATGAATCTGAAACTTTATCTGCATTCCAATGAATCTGAAACATCAATTGAAGATGCTCCCTCATTTTACATACCACTAGGAATAAAAAAACTGTCAATTACACTATGGTATGCCATTGATTGTATGATGCATCCTAATTTCAGAAGTGTTAAAATGTGGGGGAAACCCTGAGCCTTGGAGTCCATGAAGCATGGTGTTTGTGTACATGCATTACTTCTGGTTGACTCAGCACGAGGCCTGGAGCCCGGGGAGAGGGCCGTGCCCTATCGCTGACCCTCACCAGTGGGGAGACCTTGGGCTCATTACCTAACTTCTCAGCGTCTTCAGTTATAAAACAAAGATAGCATCAGTTCTGCCTACCTTACATGGCTGTCAGGAAGGATCTGATGAAACAATGAGAGTGAAAGGCTTTGCAAACTATGATGCCAAATGAATGCAATCACCAAAAGGAAAAGAATTGTAAGCCGATCTGGTCTCCGAGGACAGGTTCTGCATGTTATCCATCTTTGTTTTCCCACCAAGTCAAGCAGTGTCACTCATATAGTCAATGGGCAGATGATCATTCCTTTGCCTGCCCAGCATTTGGACATCTTTACCGCATTTGGGTACTTCCTCTTCATGAGTCTGGGGAACAAGGTCTGCCACCTGGGAGAGAAGATGTAAGTGCAAGAAATGTGTCCCTTGCCACTCTAGCAGCTCGAGGGCATCCCATGCACTCTCGCTTCATTCATCAGAGACATCTGCCTGGGCTCTGAATGCAGAGGGGAGGATACCAAGAAGCAGGGACTACACAACCCCTGGGGACAGTGGTGGCTGCAGGGAGATAGAGGATGAGGGTGTGCCTGCAAGCAGCATCCAGCATCCAGCCCCAGTGAGTAAACATCACAGGCTGAAGTGTCTAGGACACAGCAGAGGCAATAGCAGCAGAGCAGCCATGTTCTGACCATTGTTCCTGCTGCAAAGCTTCCACACTTCGCTCTCCAACTCTTGGCATTTCTGTGAGCAATCCAGGATCCCTTTAATAAATTCTCCTTCTAAAATCTACCAGAATTGGTTTCTGTTGCTTACAACTAAGAACAATGGCTGAGTACCTGCGAAATGATTGACTGAATGAAGGAGCCAGATCATTTACTAATTGCTTTTAGCTGTGTGGCCTACGCAGTTACGTAACCTCTCTGAGCTCCAGCTTCGTCACATGTAAAATGGGAATAATATCACCTACCTCAGACACAGCTACCATTGTCAGGGCCTGCTCTGACCATGATTAAGTGAGACGATGTGTACTAAGCGTTCAGCGTATATCTGGTACTCGGTAAGCCCTTAATAAATAAATAAATAATAACCTCATCTCCAAATACAAGCAGCAGCAACAGCAGCATCGTTCTCCTCAAGGGCTTCAGAGCATACTTCAGTATAGAGCTGCAAAAAAGAGAGCACCTTACCAAAGTGTCCAGGATTTTTCCTCCTTTTACTTCTAAATCCAATACTTGCAAGAAAAGTTACCTTCACTTGTGTTTTGTGTTCTCTTCTTCAATTTTGCCATACAAGTGAAATATCGTATTTGTCTCTCTAAAGTTCAAGGAGACAACAAGTCACCCACATAACAGCATCTCTGGGCCCTGCTTCCTTCCCCAGTCCAGCAAGAACTCGAGCGTAACTGTGGAGAACAATTAATAGAGACCTCAACCAAGGTTGGCAGTTGAAGGGCCTGTAGGGGGAGCTCTCACTCCCCACAGGAAGAACTTTTCTAACAGTCCTACCTTCTCTTCCCCCCTATAAAAAATTCTCCTCTTCTTTGTTCTAGCGAACTTGCACATGACTCACCATGGCTGCGTGTTCCCAATTGCAATTTTCGCTTTTTCCCAAAGAAATCCTTTTTGCGGGAGGAATATACTTTAAGTTCAATTATAAGTGGCAGCTTTGAAAGAGCCGAGGCCATGTCACATAACCGGCTCAGTATGGTGGAGACTCATAAAAACAACGTTGCTTATTGTCGCCCTCAGGGTCCTCTGAAGCCCAGCTGATGTGACAGTGCTGACACAGAGCGCAGATATTAGAACCTTCCGTGTCAGTGTGAAATGAAACTGACACACGTGTACGTGGTGTGATTGGACACTTGGGAAAATAATCACCAGAGTTCTACACGGTCATATTCACAATGTTCGTTTGGGGTCTCTGAGGGCGCTGAGTAACAGCAGTTCTCTTCCTGTTCCAAATTCTAGAGAAACTGAGAAACGAAACAAAAGCAGCAAATAGAGGTCAAAATATTTTCTTTAATGACAATAACGGCCAAAATACAGGAAATTGCCTTGTGTAAAAGCCAAATGGTGGTTAACTGAACCCCAGAATTAAACAGAATTATCTTTGTAGATACAGACACTAGGCAAGGAGAGACCTGCCCGAACGGAGAACACGTGCTTTCTGTAGAGCGCAGGAGGAGGAAGGGCCAGGCGGAGTGAGACGCGTCTGGTTATTTTTCCCATTTACCAGCCAGAGAAGTCACCCCACCTCCCCGGGGCAATGTGAGTGACAAAATGCAGAGTGACCAGGAGAGTCATATAATGGAACTCCCCCCACCAGGAAAGATCTCTCAGAGATAGTAGAAGCAATGTTCCCCTAACATTCCCAAGGTCTTTCTTCTTTAACAAGATGCATAACAAGTTTGACAAGTAAGCATGTAATCTGCCAGGAAGGTGACTCTGCAGCTGGGGGAAGCGATCAGGAATCTAACTCAGGCAGTCTGTTCACCATCACTCCTCCTTTGTCCTCTAGTACTGCCGGCCCCGGGGGGCCCAGTAACCGTATCACCTTAACTCTCACCCAGTGACTTTGTGAGAATGTTTCACTCTCACGCCTATGAACAAGCTACATGAACTCAAACTCAGACTTTCCAATTTCCTCCTAGGCCCTAAATGTAGAATGGAAATTGCCCATTTAGCACTCCCTTCCTTAACCACGCACTCACAGATAAAAGCTAGTGTAGCACATTCAGAACCCCGGTTTCCTTGCAGGAGGTGGTGCTGAAAAAAATATTGGGAGGAAGGGGGAGAATCCCACTCCTACAACATACTATGTACCGAGACTGTTACCAAAAACTCTAGATATAAACAAGGCTTGCCAAAATACCGATTTATTTATTGTTCAGTAAAGCTAAAGAGTGATAGTTTAGAGATCTGAGGGGGGGGGGTTTGATGTAGAAAAATCATAAGGAAAAGAAAGTATAGCTATATCAGAATAACAGGAAATGAAGGGAAAAAATAAAAGTAAATGTGGGAAAGGAGCAGTAACTACTGTAGTCTGAATGTTAGTGTCCTTCCCAAATTCACTTGTTAGAATCCTAAGACCCAATGTGAGGTCTTAGAAGGTGGGGTCTTTGAGAAGTGATTAGGTTATGATGGAGGTCCTCATGAATGTGATTACTGCTCTTATAAGTCCCACAGAGCCCTTCTGCCCATGAGAACACAATTAGAACTCTGTGACCAGAAAGAGAGCCCCCATATGGCCATGCTGACACCCTGATCTCAGACTCCCAGTGTCCAGCACTGTGAGACATATTTTTCTGTTGTTCATAAGCTACACCTACTCTGTGGTATTTTGTTATAGCAGCCCAAATGGACAAAGACAGTAACAACGTAAAGGCAATTTGGGGGACTACTTTTCCCCACCCCAAAACACATAAGTAAATGTAAGTATGCTTTGGCTTATAAAGTACAAAGCGCTATTTTAGGTGCTATTCAAAATGCAAAAATGATACAGTCAGAATCAGAATCATAAGAGGCAGAGGAGGTTAAGCAACATAACAATATAACAAAGATGTTGGCAGTTAAAAGGAGAAAAATATTGCATCTGGCTAAGGAGAAATCAGAAGGAAGAACTGAGATTTGAAATGGACTTGAATGGCTAGCATTCCAACAATGATCTTACTCTGCCTTCCCTTTTTCTGACTATCACCCTACCATTTTCCCAATCATCCAAGTTCAAAAGCTAAGAATCCGGAAACTAGCAGAAAAATATATACGCACCCCTATGTTGATAGCAGCATTATTTACAATAGCCAAGATCTGGAAAGAGCCCAGGTGCCCATCAGTAGATGAGTGGATAATCTACAAAATGGAATACTACACAGCCATATAAAAGAAGGAACTCTTACCCTTTGCAACAGCAAGGATGGACCTGGAGATTATTCTGCTAAGTGAAATAAGCCAGAGAGAGAAAAATAATACCATATGATCTCACTTTTGTGTGGGATCTAAGAAACAAAATAAACTGATGAACAAAATAGAACCAGAGGCACAGATACATGGAACAGATGACAGCTGTCAGAGGGAAGGGCATGCAGGTGGACTGGATGAAAGAAGGTGAAGAGACTAGTCAAAGAACATGTATGCATGACCCACAGACACAGACAACAGTGTGGGGATGGCCAGAGGGAAGGGGGGCAGGGGCTGGGTGCAGGTGACACAGGGTAGGGAAATGGAGACGTCTGTAATAGTGCCAGCAGTAAAAATAAAGTTTAAAAACAAAAGCGTAGTTATCTTTAATTCTTCCTCTTCAATCCACTCCTCTAAGTCAGCACCTTACTATATCTCATCCGGATAGACTGACTTCCAAAGTTCTCCCCTTCCTCCTCTCTCATCACCCCTAAGTTATCCTATAAAATGAAAGCAGATCTTCCTTAATGACAACTCTAATTACATTTTTTTAACTTTAATGCCTCTCCTTTGTCTTCAGAATTAGATTAGAAGTGTAGTTCCTTCAAATATGTTATTTCTCACAAAGAAAACATCTGTTCTGTAATGAGAGCTTATTGAAACCTCCAGTGCTGCTATGCTAATTTATTCATTCATCCAAAAAAACACCTGTTGAATGCCTTCTGTGTGCTGGGGATCCAAACTTAAATAAGAATCCCCAGTGCCCTCAAGGAACTTACTTTCCACGAGGGGAGGTAGACAAAATTATGTGAAAGTCCTATGACAGCGGTTGTAGTGCTTTTAGAACAAGCCCTCGAATTCTTTGACATTCCTATGCCGCCCCACCCCCACCCCGTACGTGGCTGAGGGCTTCTGACTGCTGCAACAAAAGAAAATTCAGTGAAAGTGACTCTGCATGACTTCCAAAGCTATGTTAGAAAAGGCCATCCCGCACCCACCGGTCCTCACGGCACACGCACTCTCGCACTCTCACAGCCCAGCTTCCAGGCTGTGGGGAAGCCCAGGCCACCCACCTGGAGAGGCTGGGGTATAGATGTCCTGGCCAAGCCTGCTGAGGCTGCAGCTGTCAAAGAGCATCGACCTCAACACCAGGCCTGTGAGTGAGGAAGATTTCGAGATGACTTCACCCGCCTCTGACTGCAAGAGGATGACACCCACCCCAAGAGAGCACTGCATAGCTGAGCCCAGGGAATGCCCCAAACCATGAGAGAGAACAAAGAAAAAAAAAGTGAGTATTGCTGTTTTCAGTCAGTAAGTTTTGGAGTGACTTCATTATTCAGCAATAGGTAACTGGAAAGGCAGTAAAAGTGGGCTGATACAGGAGTGCACAAAAAGGATCCTTATCCCAGATTTGGGTTGGGGAAAGAGATCAGGGAGACTTCCTAGAGAGAATAACTCCCGCGTCCTGTCAGCATACCTAAGCCAGGCCCACCCATCCTCAGAACATGTCCACTGCTTCCTGATTTCCACAGGAAGCTGAGCAGGCTCCCCCACCACCCAGCCCAGTGTGTACCCTGTCTCTGCAGTGAAACACTCAGATGTGAGACTCTGTTTTTGTTTTTTTAATCCTCATCCAACGACATGCTTACTGATTTTAGAGAGAGGGGAAGAGAAGAGAGAGACAGGAGGAGAAACATCAACGAGTTGCCTCTCATATTCACACCAACCAGGGACCAAACCTGAAACCTAGGTATGTGCCTTGACCAGGAACTGAACCCGTGACCTTTTGATTTAAAGGATGACACTGTGACCAACTGAGCCAACCAGACGGGGCTGAGACTCTGGTCTTGAGCTCAAATACACACTTTGCACCATCTCACACTCTTTGCAACTCTCTAGGAAGAGCTGTGATCTTTTTTGTCATCTATCAGCTGCGTTAGAGCACCTTAAGATCACTTTATAGGAAGTCCCATTTCCTGCTACTGTTCCTAAAGCTCTATAAACTGCATTCATATTTTCTTTCCTTTTGAACATCCTGCCAAGCTCCCTACATCAGCCCAGGGCTGTCTTCTACTTTAGCTCTTCACAATGCACTAGCAACTTCAAGACTGCCGTGATCTCTGAGCCTCCATTTCTAGTCCCAAACACCCATGTTGCAGGTCCAGTGGACCCTCCGTACCCACAGGGGATTGGTTCTGGGACCTCTTGCAGATAACAAAATCCACCGGTGCTCAAGTCCCTTATAGAAAATGGCATAGTATTTGCATATAACCTACTCACTTCCTCCCATATATTTTAAATCATCTCTAGATTACTTACAATACCTAATACAATGTAAATGCTATGTAAAAAGTTGTTATATGGCACTGTTTAGGAATCACCTTTCTGGAATTTTTTCAATAGTTTTGATCCAGGCCTAGGTGTGATACATCCAACTTCTACTCATATTCCATTGGCTAGAACTGAACCACAAG